GGCTGGCCTGTGGGCGGGGCGGGAGCAGCGGCAGCTCTTAACATGTAAAAATCAATTACATGTGCATCTACCCCGGAAGTAAGATCTAGCGCTATCGTCAGGGATTTCTGTAATATAAGACCTACCCCGAACTAGGTCTTATTTTCGGGGTAGGTCTTATATTACAGAAATCCCTGAAGATAGCGCTAGGTCTTACTTTCGGGGTAGGTCTTACTTTCGGGGAAACACGGTACATATTGGTATCAAGAGCTCCTAACTGTTCAAGTATTTTTCTAGTTTCTTCCTCCTGCTTTTGTCACAATTAAAGTGCATTTTAATACCTTGTTTATTGTGTCCTCATCCACACAATGCTGCTGCAACCAGTAGATGAGTTCAAGGTCTTCATTACACGAATTGGACGGTCTTGTGTGGGACACTGAAATCCCAGGGATATCTAAACAAAAATTATATATAACAAGTTCATTCAGATCATGTTAATTAAATAATTATTTCTGATATTAGTTATTATAACTCTACATTTAGTAGTATATGCAAGGTATTTGTCCTTTTTGTATTCATGATCGGAATAGACTTAAGTGTGCCAAATTACCTATGTACCTTAAATTTGTGAATTTGTTTTAAATGGGTTAGGTGCTTTTTCAGAGCTTGGTCTCAAGCTTCTCTTTTCCAGTTTCAGTGAGATGCCTTGCTTGATAGCATGATAACATTTATGTGCTTCCCAAACAATGATAGGAAAGCAGGTCTCTGTCTCATTTAGATGGAAAGACTCGTCAGAAAAAAATGGCATAATACAATATTTGAATGGATTCCACAACTTCAACTCATACTCCATGTTTCCAGTTCCACTACCTGAACTCATGCTGAGGGAATGATAGTGTCATGGTGATAGGTGAATGATTCGAGACGAATATGGGGTTAACGAGTTCTGAAAGGCCAAGTTGGGGGATAAAATGCTAATCTATTCAAGATTACCTACTGGGGAAATAATTCAAATATTTTAAATCCTTCATTGTAGTATAAAGTGTTCTTTATCACTCCATCAGATTTACCCGGAGTTTTTGTCTGCTATATTTCAATCATCAATGAAACACCCAAGTCACATCCCCAATCTAAACCGGAATATATGTTTGGTATGTCTGAAAAAGTAACAAAACCATACTCAAAACAAAAGAGTCAGTGTGCATGTAAAGAAAAAAAAATATAGCTATATATCTATCTATATAGATATATCTATATATATATCTATATAGATATATATAGATATATACACACACACACCTATCAGCCATAACATTATGGCTATGGAGGCAGTATGATGCTTTGGGCAATGTTCTCCTGGAAAACCTTGGGTCCTGCCATACATGTGGATGTTACTTTGACATGTACCACCTACCTAAACATTGTGTCTGCCCAATTACATCCCTTCATGGAAACAGTATTCCCTGATGGCAGTGGCCTCTTTCACCAGGATAATGCACCCTGCCACACTGCAAAATTGGTTCAAGAATGGTTTGAGGAACACAACAACTTTGTGGTGTTGACTCCAGATCTCAATCCTATCAAGCACCTGTGGGATGTGCTGGTAAAACATGTTTGATTCATGCAGGTCCCACCTTCCAACTTACAGGACTTAAATGATCTGCTACGGTTGACTTTGTGCAAGATACCACAGCATACCTTCAGAGGGCTAGTGAAGTCCATGCCTCAACATTTGAATAAAATAACAACAGCTTGCCATCCTCTTTCATGCCACGGGTCAAACATTGTAAAGGTTATCAGTTATGTCTGTTACTTACTTATTGGCTGGGACTTGTGCTGAAGACGTTTGATCTCTTGATCTTTCTCTTCAATAGCCTGCCGAAGAAGAGCCTGGAAATCTCTTTCCTTCTGCAACAGTTCCTCTAGAAGCCTAAACAGCAGAGAATTATTATATGCAGTGGTTAAAATGCTGTGCTTTGTTTTCAGTCTCTCGCCACTGATAATATGTAAGGAAACCCATTTTGCCTGTGAGCAATGTTGCTGCATTGCAGGATGATTTAATATTCAGCAAGGCAAATACAAATAGCAATTGTTATGTGCAAAGTACACAATATCAATGTCCCTTGCACTACCTTACTAAATACAGCTATGGTCTAACTAAACAGAGGAAATCCTTCTGGTGTCCTATATTATGGATTGTACTCTTTTGTAAGTAGGAGTTGACAGAATATTTATATACTTAAAGCGAAAGTAAACCTTCAAAACTAACATTTGCCAGCAGGTAGGGTCTTGTGGTAAAATAAAATGTATAAGTCTCTTCCGCCAAAAGACTTTTACTTAGTATGCTGTGCAACATATTTATCCTCCCACCAAGAACTTTACTTACCTGTTTGACTCAATTTTCAGTCTCCCCAGTTGCATGCTGAGTGTTCTGTGAGTATTCTGAGACTCATGAGACACCGTAGAGCTGAGGGTGCTCACTCCTGATGTATGTACATTGTCCTCGTTCACTGCACTGGGCACTTGGCTGGGCCCTTTTATGGTGCGTTCATTGTGATCTTCCTCCACTTCTATGTCATCTTGGTCTGCTGGGTCACTTTCAGAGGTAATGCTAAAATGTGGCCGCAGTTCTGTGGATTTATACAGCAGAAGACAGCTAGCTTACAATGTGGCATACACACAGGCTTAGCAAACTTCACTACTACAGATCAATAGTTTATGAGGACAGCCGTCACCACCCACAGCTATGCGCAGGCTGCTCGCATGTAATTGTACATTCTGCGATTACCTGCAGACAATCGCAACTGGCCGCAAACAGCTGATCGCATTAGTCTCAGGGGAGAATTCTCAAACATGAATGAGACCTTATACTCACCTGTCCCAGATCCAGCAAGATATCTACTGTGCAACTTGGTCAATCCTATGGAAAGTGTGCGCACATACTCAAGAGCTCTACATAGGTCCGAATGAGAGTGCAGGCTCAGTAGGGAAGATTTCTACAAGCTGAATCTATATCTCATTGGATATCTATATATATATCTATATATATATCTATATAGATATATATAGATATATACACACACACACCTATCAGCCATAACATTATGGCTATGGAGGCAGTATGATGCTTTGGGCAATGTTCTCCTGGAAAACCTTGGGTCCTGCCATACATGTGGATGTTACTTTGACATGTACCACCTACCTAAACATTGTGTCTGCCCAATTACATCCCTTCATGGAAACAGTATTCCCTGATGGCAGTGGCCTCTTTCACCAGGATAATGCACCCTGCCACACTGCAAAATTGGTTCAAGAATGGTTTGAGGAACACAACAACTTTGTGGTGTTGACTCCAGATCTCAATCCTATCAAGCACCTGTGGGATGTGCTGGTAAAACATGTTTGATTCATGCAGGTCCCACCTTCCAACTTACAGGACTTAAATGATCTGCTACGGTTGACTTTGTGCAAGATACCACAGCATACCTTCAGAGGGCTAGTGAAGTCCATGCCTCAACATTTGAATAAAATAACAACAGCTTGCCATCCTCTTTCATGCCACGGGTCAAACATTGTAAAGGTTATCAGTTATGTCTGTTACTTACTTATTGGCTGGGACTTGTGCTGAAGACGTTTGATCTCTTGATCTTTCTCTTCAATAGCCTGCCGAAGAAGAGCCTGGAAATCTCTTTCCTTCTGCAACAGTTCCTCTAGAAGCCTAAACAGCAGAGAATTATTATATGCAGTGGTTAAAATGCTGTGCTTTGTTTTCAGTCTCTCGCCACTGATAATATGTAAGGAAACCCATTTTGCCTGTGAGCAATGTTGCTGCATTGCAGGATGATTTAATATTCAGCAAGGCAAATACAAATAGCAATTGTTATGTGCAAAGTACACAATATCAATGTCCCTTGCACTACCTTACTAAATACAGCTATGGTCTAACTAAACAGAGGAAATCCTTCTGGTGTCCTATATTATGGATTGTACTCTTTTGTAAGTAGGAGTTGACAGAATATTTATATACTTAAAGCGAAAGTAAACCTTCAAAACTAACATTTGCCAGCAGGTAGGGTCTTGTGGTAAAATAAAATGTATAAGTCTCTTCCGCCAAAAGACTTTTACTTAGTATGCTGTGCAACATATTTATCCTCCCACCAAGAACTTTACTTACCTGTTTGACTCAATTTTCAGTCTCCCCAGTTGCATGCTGAGTGTTCTGTGAGTATTCTGAGACTCATGAGACACCGTAGAGCTGAGGGTGCTCACTCCTGATGTATGTACATTGTCCTCGTTCACTGCACTGGGCACTTGGCTGGGCCCTTTTATGGTGCGTTCATTGTGATCTTCCTCCACTTCTATGTCATCTTGGTCTGCTGGGTCACTTTCAGAGGTAATGCTAAAATGTGGCCGCAGTTCTGTGGATTTATACAGCAGAAGACAGCTAGCTTACAATGTGGCATACCCACAGGCTTAGCAAACTTCACTACTACAGATCAATAGTTTATGAGGACAGCCGTCACCACCCACAGCTATGCGCAGGCTGCTCGCATGTAATTGTACATTCTGCGATTACCTGCAGACAATCGCAACTGGCCGCAAACAGCTGATCGCATTAGTCTCAGGGGAGAATTCTCAAACATGAATGAGACCTTATACTCACCTGTCCCAGATCCAGCAAGATATCTACTGTGCAACTTGGTCAATCCTATGGAAAGTGTGCGCACATACTCAAGAGCTCTACATAGGTCCGAATGAGAGTGCAGGCTCAGTAGGGAAGATTTCTACAAGCTGAATCTATATCTCATTGGAACCAAGACAGGTAAGTATAAGATTAAGAGAGGGGCTGGAGGGGAAGGGGGGAGAGAACTACAAAATAAGAGTAACTAAACATAAAAACTCTCTTTAGTACTATGTACAGACTAAGAGAGTTATAAGCTACACTGATCAGAAAAAGTAGGTAATGCTCACTTGTCAGTGCCTCAGGGCTCACCCTCCTGATTACAGCCCGAACAGTGGAACAAGTGGTATGCCTGACCATTACCCTTTCACAGTGACCACATCGCAATGCTGGGCTATGTTTAGGTGATGAAACCTGTAGCTGCTGACAGGTATTACACAGCTTTTCTTTAATACATTATAGGTGCATAACAGTGTATTTGGGGAAAAGGGGGGCAGGGTACGCAAAATAGGTATAGCATTTATCTGCTTTACCCCTAAAATTATATAAAAATAATCATAATAATAAAGGCCTACGCAACCTTAGCACAGCAATCAAAAAAGACACATATTGTTTAGAGAAGACATTACTCTAATGAAAAAGCCTACAATATGGGGCTGATTTACTAAGGAATTTGATGTTCAGAAAAGGAATTGTGTGAATATTCGCTTAAGTTACCCAATCATTGAAAAAGAACATCCCTGCATACTTATTAATCTACACATGATTAGAGAATTGAAGTGAATCTTCACACATTGTATTGTGTGAAATCAGCATGAGTACAGGCCTTTCCTGATCTTAAAAAAATATTTTATTAGGATGAGGAAACAACTGTATGTATATGGGCTCTCTACAGCCTCTGCAAGTGTTCCCTAGCCTACTGTTCCTTGGGAAAAATAAATTGACCTAGTTGAATTTTCCTAGCCTATGTCTATTGTTATTCTGAGGTAAGACCAGCCCCAGAGATCCAAATCATATGACCAAGTATGCTTAGATCATTTTTTGGCAAACAGATTTTCCAACTGTCATGCCTTTAGCTCGCTCATTCAAGCTGAAGAGTGGGCAGCTGTAAAAACATAAAAAGTAGGTTTTTTTAAAAGTAACACACACACGAATACTCATGTCCTGATGATGTGGCTGATGAGGCTACACTGATTACAGTGGGGGCCTGATGACGCTGGCGAGAGTGGCGGGGACAAGATTGACTGTCGCAAGAGGAACAGATGTGGAGGTAGAACCAAAGATTAAGTTTTAGTGTGTATTACAAACTTTGTTTAAGAAAGGACTCCTACATACTGCTTAAGGGGGAGAGGGAGCACTATTTATAGTAGTGTTCTTATTGACTTTTTTCACTGGAAGACTCCTTGTTTTTGACTCAATTCTTTAGTCATTTGCTGTTTTCTAATAAGCAAATGTATCTTATGGAATGTCCTTAGATGTGCGACAGGATCAGCTTTGTAAATATTTCTTAAACTGTTTTTGTAAAGACAAAAAATATAACTATACAAATCAGCTAATAATCTCTGTTAATTAGTTGTTCAAATTGTAAGGTAAACATTTAATGCATTATTAAGACATGGCACCTTGCTCTTTTTAATGAATCAAGTCATATTTTCACATGTGATTATTCTGAATTTCTAGACATTTCTAGAAAGCGAAGTATATTTTCAGTGCAGCTCATAGCAATACCTTAATTATTTCCTTATTTTAGCTTCTTGTATTCCACTGTACAGCAGTAGTTGAAATGGAGGAGAGAGAGTCACTAGGCCTATCAGTGCTCTGCTGCTTTGTACAATGCCGACAATGTGAACATGCGCACAGTAGGAGTGAGCACAGGGAGAAGCTCATTAATGTGCTGCTGCTCTTTCACTGTCCAATCAGCAGGGTCCTTCACCAATCAGTACTGCTTTAATATACTGGAGGAACCTAGGTATACAGTCTGAAAGGGATGCCTGATCACTGAGATTGGTAGATTACATTTTGGTGGAAAAAAAATAAAAACTTATTTTCACAGGGTAAAGAGTTTACAATTTATTTTAAATTGAGCTTTTTGGCTCGAGCTTAAATTTGATATGCCATTCACAGAAGAGTGAATAGAATAGAATGTGATCCCACAGCATGACCCCTCATGGTTAATAGTATCCTTAGTTACAGAAAGCAAGCAGAATTGGATACCAGTTATGAAGCAAGTTGCTAGCAATGTCAGCCTTTAGTCACAGTACGCTCATGCTGTGGAGTATACAGGTGGAGTTCATCAGCACTTAAGACAGGTGAATGGAAAGAAAAGTACTATCCAATTTACTATAGTAATGAACTCTAGTCACATATAGGATTATTGAGTAAACAGAAAATTGTTGTTTAACTTACCTGGAACTAATGTGGTAATGGCTGTTTGCACAGCCTTCCGAATGATGCTGTCTAGAGCAAACATCCAGTGGGGCTTGATATTGTGGTTTCGGAGTACTGTATTCACCTGGTTAAACAGAAAACAAAATTGCTAAGCTGATGCTTCACATTCATGCAAATATTTGAGAAGCAACTGCTCTACTGTGCAAAAATAAAGATTAATCTCATGTTACCAAAGTACATCTGGATACCGATCTTTTGCAGAATTGTGAACAATTATGAATATTTGAAAACATAAAAAGATGGCAATTTGTAATGAGCACGAAAAATGAATGAGAATGGAAGCTTCCACATAAGGCTTGGAACTCAAGCATCTTGCTTTAATGTGTTCCCTTACAGCATCATCAGTTAAGGTGTCATTATGATATATTATGCTGTATAAATGGCATGATTATACCTATTGGGGTAAAGACAATAAAAAAGTAATGGAAATCTCATTCATGCATTAATCTTTCCAAATAATCTTTCTTTTACTTACAGCATCTTGAAAGCCAAACAGCGCCACTTGGATCTGGCTGATGGCATGACTGTCAAAGTCCAGCTCAAGTTTCAGTTTTGACAGAGTCGAAGCTATGATTTTACGGTCAGTTGATCTGATAAACTCTCGTAGGCTGATCACTAGAGTTGTTATATGTTCCCATTTTAATTTTGTTGCATCTGCACCCTATTAAAACCATAACATAATTAACATAAAATACTAACAAATGTTCCTTACATTTTTAAGTGCAAATAGTAAACATTAACACATTTCTTAGCGACATATAGAAATGAGATTAAATATACAGTATATCAAAAGTTATGTTAATTAACTGCAAGTTAACATAACCACAATTTAATAATGATTTGCCATACTTTGGAAAATGGTGCACTATGCACTTATTTTAATTTAAAATCTAACCAGGACCTTTTAAGCCCTGAGAAAACTCCAGTTTTGTCCTTTCAAGGAGGTGTTTAATGGGTGCTGTCCTACTATAATCCTCAGCATTTCTAGATAAATACGTTACTAAAACAGAGAGCTTCCAAAAGAACCAAATAATATACTTTAAATGTAATGCATTTTTGTGTAAGCTACTTAAAAATGTACCCAACAGGAAAGTTTAACGTTTCACTGCATCAAAAAAAAAAACCCAAAACATTAATTAATTATACAGAGTTAATATAGATTGTGATAGAGTGGTAAGGGTTTTTACTGTCTGTCCTGATCACCAATGTCACCAGAATGAAAGTGATGGGTAAATCCACCAGAACAGGAACAGAGGGGAAATATTCTAATCGAGATAAGTGTTCCCATGACAACTAAAAGGATATTTCCTGTCTATGAGGAGATTGCCCTACATTGTAAAGATACCCTCTCACTTCCTGTTGAGTCTAAAAGGGCAGGAAGTGAAGGGATATCTCCCTGAGGTACAGATCGTTAAAAAAAAAATATATAGACACCTTCCCTTACTCCATCCAAAATGAAATGGAATTGGCTTTAGATCTATTTTAATTCCTTAAATTTTACATGCCTTTATTTTTTTTCAAAATTTACATACAGAGCAAGCTGTCAAGCAAATGTGAACACATTATAACACGCTCGGCAGTGCATGAGCAGGCGAATGTTATAAGCATTACTAGTAGAGCTATAGTTTGTCCCTGTCATTTTTCATAGACAGCTTGGTCTGCATTTAAATGTGGAAAAATAAAAGAATGTGAAATACAAAATGGAATTTATATACTTAAGTACTTTGGGGGGAATTTATCAAAACTGGAGCAGACAAAACCTGGAGCAGATATGCACTGCATCCAATCAGCCTCTCTGTCTCATTTTCAAATCTTACCTAAGCAAACTGAAGAGAGACGCTGATTGGTTGCCATGGGCAACTGCTCCAGATTCTGTCTGCTCCAGTTTTGATAAATTCCCCCTTATGCCTACATATGTTTACTTCATACAGAATACAATATTTTTGAGATAACAAGCCTTTAACTCATATTGCTCAGAGAAGTGTTTTTGCTAATTTGTGACTTTGTGGCAGATCATACTAATCTACCAGCAGTCACTAAAGTACTTCTGGTGGTAGAGTTTTTAAAGCATTCCACCTAATGCTTTAGGGTGGACGTACATTAAATCAGAAATATAAAAATTGTAAAAACAATGCTTACAAGTGTCATATTTTTTATAAGATGCTTCTATACAAAAGTTCAGCTCTAGATTTTTCATAATCTGCTCAACCTGACAATGAAAAATCGTTTTACAGTATCCACGCAACATTGAGAAAGCCAGTGGTAAACTCTTCAGCCAACCTCTTTGTACAGCTTTTACATTACCCTACTAAATAGTACTAATTGAAAGTATTGCTGCAAAATGCGTTTTGCTTGAAGAGGTGTTCAGGAAATATTGTACACCTCTGTTATACACATGGTAGAAATTATAACAGTTATGCTTAAAAATATTTTAAAGTCAAAAGGTTTTTAATCAATTTACTCACTAAATTTAATCACTTACAATGGATGTTGCTCCTTGATGTTTAAATGTTTTCGCTTCCTGCAGAATTATCTGGTCCCCTGAGAACTTGTCCTGATATTCTGTTTTAGGTTGGCTCCTTTCTCTTGCAGGTTCCTATGGAGCCACCCATGTGTGTGCTAGTACACAGACACAGCAAGGTAAGCCACTTTCCTGCCTCCTACTCCTCCGAGCTAGTGGATGGACAGCTGCTGGAGACTGATCTGTCCCTTGTGATCTTGAACTCAACAGGAAGCTTAATCCCTTCCTGACCGATGACTGGATTCAGTCACGGTCTTTCAGTTCCTTGAAGATTGGAATAATCCAGTCATGCGGTACAATGAGCACTGGTCCGTGCAGAGTTAATGCTGTTGCTGGGTCCCTCAGGGCCTGAGGCAGACCCTCAACAGCAAATTAGGGGTCCCAACACTGTGATCACAGCAATAGGTAATAACTCAGTGTGCTACAAAAGTTAAACAAAGTATCTTCTTTGAGGAAAATACTAAGTATTCTGAGAAGATACTGTATAAAAATACCATGTGAATAAAAAATTGCCAATTTTTTAAAACAAGTTTTAAACAGTTTTTTTTTTTTTAATTTTTAGACATTTTTTTTAAAAAAATGAAAAAAAAAAGTTTAAAAAAAATAAGTTTAATAAAAAAATATAAGAAACTAGAGTGCCGAGACGACTATGAAAATTAGGTTACAAGCATACCACATTCTAAAATTGTTCCACACTAACATCGTAATTTACTCCTTGTATTTTGCGACCTATAACTTCCAAAATAAACTTAAATCCCAGACATATGATATACTCTATAGGAGAAATAAAATAAATTAGGAAATTACTTTCCGTTAGCCACACTAATTATGTACACATTATTATTGCTAAAACTGAGAAAAATCTGTTGGTTTTTCAAAAACAAAATAAGAATTTATATTTGCATACATCAAATTAAATTATATAATAATAGCACAGTATATAATATGTGTAGGTTCAATGAAGTAGATTGAAATTATGGTTAAACAAACATAGCAAAAATGGCAAATTGCTCTGGTCCCCAGGAACTAAAATTTTTTTCGGAAGCTGTTTGGAAACATGTCTGTAAAATCAACAATTTAAAGAAATACTTTGCTGGGCAATGCATACTTGTTTGATCTTGGTTCATTAATGAAAATATGACCAAACCACAGTAGAATGTGCCAGTAAAGAAAACCCTCACTTACAGAAATCTGAAAAAATGTACAACATCCTAAATTCCAACAATCCATTACCAAAGTCTCTTTATGCCAACATTGTTTGACTAGCAGAGTGGTCATTATCGTCTTACCTGACCTAAAGCTTCCACCAGGTTTCTAACTACAGTATCCTGGTCCTCCGTGAGGATGCGATGCAAAGTGGCTCTCCTCTCACTATCTTTTTTCAACATGAAGAATCCAGAGTCTCTTTCCTCTGGAGATGGAGGAGCACTGTGATCTTCAAACTGCTCATCTGGAATCCTGAATATATATATATATATATATATATATATATACACACATACATACACACACACACACAGTATATATATTTTTTACAGGTTTAGGACTGCTGGTTTTAATTAAAACTAGTGACCTCACTTATCTAGAAGCATCATTAAATTAGTGACCTTACTTGTCTAGTAGCATCATCGTAATTTAACTAAGGATTTTTTTTTAACAAATAGAATTGTAATACAAACAGGATTAATAGACTCAGTCATAACTGATATATCTATTTAGGGTAAAAGAGCAATTTGTAGAGCAGGAAATTCCATATCTTCTAAAGTTTTGGACATTCCATATTATTGTATGCAGCTTTGTATATGGGTAGGACATATTTATGAGGCTGGAGAAACCTACTTTCTCCTGGGCACCAGGGATTTAGATGCCTGAAAATGTTAGATGGTGACTAGCCATGCGTTTATGACTTGGTCATAGAACAATCTTTCTAAGAAAAGATCTTTTAAAAAATGTGCAAGTTTGCATGTGTGTAACTATGTGAGACAGGGGGGCGCTGGGATGCGAGCCTTTCGTGGGGAAACAATAGTGATTGAACAGAAAAAGCTGACCAACTTCCTTCCTAGCAAGCTCATGCATGGACCATCAGCCAGGTTGATGAATGTGCCTACAAACATGCAGTTGTTCCTGATTCAGCCAAAACTGGCCAGATAAGGTAAACTGTCTCTAATAAGTGTAGGTATCTTTAAGAGGAGCAGTTTCATCATGTACTGAAGGCAGTATTGTCACACTTCCATTCATACAAAATGGTGCTCTCTCTATTACTGCCAAGACAAAATTCTAGAGTGGAAACAGTGAATCAAACCCTCACTATGTATGTTTGTTTAAACTCATAGATAATCTAAACTGCATGCTAACAAGGATGTTTGTTCTTCTTTATTAAGCGTGCTCATCCAGTAATAAAGTGTGTGCAACCCATTGCCACCTGATGCTGCTTATCAACTGCATTTAAATTGGCAGCTCACACTAGCACATCGGTGAATCAGAAGAGATAAAACAACTTCCTATAATTGAAGGGTGACTCATACACAGCACTTTGTTACATCTGAGCACACGTAGGAAAACTCTGACTTAAGTGTGCTGAGAAAACTTAGAAAAAGAAAATGGTTTTGTAGCGCATAGCATAAAATTATTTTAGGAAATTAAAGTTCTGATCAGATAAAACTGTGTGTGACACCTCACACTTTTCCTTTGTATTAGTTCTCAGAAATGTCTTTTAAAGCCTAGCAGAATCAATAACTTTTTTTTTTCCAGTTTTGGATTGGTTAGAACTGTCAGTTTCTTATGAATACTCTTGACCGTGTGATTTTAACCCCACTTCCTGTCCTTGTAACAGCAAGACAAGAAATGAGGAGCACCTGTTACCAAGATGTGAAGAAACAAACATTAATAATAACCTGACAGAGGTTCTAACTTTTGTTTTGCTATGAGATTTAGGGCCCATGTTGATTGGCTTTTGTTTTGTATTCCCATACAAGTCTATGGGAGCATACCCTGCTTAAAGCAGGTCAGAATGTCAATGAATTCCAAATAATTTCAGAAGCATCTAAACTCAATGTCAAAGTGATACATCGACACAACCCCAAAGCCCACTGACCAGTGGCGGAACTACCCCCGGTGCAGCCGATGCGTGCGCACCAGGGCCTCAGCCTGGGGGGTTGGCCAGCACAGATGGTGGGACTTGCCGGATCAGTATCCAGCTGCCGGCGGGCACCCAGTCTCTGCGACGGAAGTGTTGGATCATCCGTTCATCTGACACCCCGGCGTAGAGATAGGGGGCCCGCCGGATAGTGATCCGGTGCTATCCGGCGGCCGGCAAGTCCCAACATCTATGCACAGAGACTGTGCTGTGCTGGCCCCTCCCCCCCGGCTGAGGCCTCGCGCTTTCGGGGACCTCGCGCCCGCCAGACTCGGTCAAAGCAAGTGAGGGAAGCGGGGACACAGGATATCCCTGCCCCCTCACCATTCTGCAGTTTTGCCGCGCCAGGATCGGAGGTAAGTGATGCGATGGAGGGGGGTGATGTGATCGAAAGGGGGGGCTGAGGAGTGGTGATAAGCGATAAAGGGACCATTATTTGAGAGGGCTGGGGAAAGGTGATGGGAGGTGCAGGAAATATGTGATGGAAGATGTGCTGGAGTTGGGGGAGAGGTGCAAGGGGGACCGTGGTGATGGGAGAGTCCAGGGGGCATATGAAGATAGTGGAAAGAACAGAGGGCATGAGAGAGATGGGGGAGAAAACAGGCATATCTCCTAAACCTAAAGGGGTTATAGGTTTAAGAGATATATGTCTTCAATCTATAGAAAATAAAAATTAACCGGTCCCCATTTATTGAAGTGTGATAATTATCTAAAATGCTTTAACATACATCCTAATATTTAGGAAAATCTACTGCTATTTTTAAAAGAGAACTATGGGGTTAGGGCTTTTCCCCATAGTTCTCCTAAGGGTAACGGGAGGACACAAACTAGCGTCCTCCTGTCACCCTAAGCTCCGTATTCCGCGAGCTACAGCTCGCGGTATACTGAGACGCCGCAGCTGGGACGGATCCTGACATTACTGTTGAGATCCGTCCAGCTGCGTGAGTGACAGCTGGCTCTGCCTATCTAGAGGCAGAGCCAGCTGTAACTGCCCCCTCCCCTGTCCGTTCCGCCAGTCAGCGCTGGAGGATCGGAGCGGGGAGGGGGGAATCCAGTCCCTCCCCTGTCATGGCTCTCTGCCTTGACAGGATCGAGAAGTGAGCGAACGCCGGTATGTCACAGGTCAGCTAGAACTATGAGGATGAGTGAAAAGCACTCACCTCATAGTTCTCCTTTAAGAAGATCTCCAGAGTTGTTCTGACTTCTTAAACCAAAAAAAAATCTTGCACCAGGGCCCTTTGTTCCTTAGTTCCGCCACTGGATCTCTCCACTGGATTCACAGACTGCGAAAAGTTTGGCCTGGAGGTGAACTATAATACATCTATATGAACTGTGCCATTTCAGATGTACTGGTACTTGTATAAGTAGGGACGCAAGCACATAACATACCCTAAAGAGTCTAAATAAAAAATCTAAAGTACCTCTTGATCTAAAAAGCACACGCCACCAGATGCCTGCTCACTACTCTGATCCCCTGTGCTTGGGATCTTTGGATCCTCAAAATACCAGTTACTTTGGAATGCAAATGCCAACTAAACTCAGTTATTCATAGATGAAGCCTGTCCAATCCTACTTAATGCAATCTCCCACTGGTAGCTTCACTAACCAATAGTACAGTGGGGACAAAGAGTCAGAGCCAGTGACAACAGAAGCTAGATGGTATCTGCATTACAAAGTACTCTGGGTTTTGGTGGTCCTTGGACACCTTTAGCAAATCAGAGGCAGTGTGCAGACATCCGGAGATGCCTGCTTTTCAGAATAAGTGAGGCTTTACACTTTTTTTCCTAAACGCTTGCTTTAATGCATTATTATACTCTGTGTCCACAGCCACATCAAAAAATGGTTACCTTTTTAATTTGTGTAGAGTGTAATATCTGAAGTGGTCATTCTTATCAGTATTACCTTCTATCCTCACCTTCCTGTTTATTCACAGTTAAATATAATATAATACAAGCCAAACATATAGTATGTTACTGTGTACAATATAATTAAACATTCTGGAGCTTAGAACACACGTGCAACAAAACACACAATAAATATTCACCCAAGGAAAAGACTCCTTGGAATCTTCCCCTCTTTTTCTATACAAGACTTTGTTCTTGATTTGAAAGAGAAAGGCTCTGATCTTAAGTCAGTGTCTGGAGAAACGGATCCATATTCACTGCTACTGCTTGTATCTTCCACCATCACTGGGACTGGCAATGATATGCTTCTCAGATATTCTGCAAATAACGAAATACATTTAGGCATCACCATATAAATAGTAACACCAATGCCCTCATCAAATAACCATCATATACTTCTCATTTTTAGGGCTATATTCAAATCTCATTTTCAGTGTGCATAGGTCTCCATCAGAATACAGATGCCCATCTTCTTTGTATGGTAGCTCAGCAGGTATTTCATTAAAATGCATTAAATGTAACATAGCTGCCTCATTGTTCCGCTGCGGGATGCTGGAACCCATCACTTCAGATAAGTTTCACTTGATGCTAATTTGCCTTTTAATGCATTTTTATTAAACTGGAAACTACCACATGTCCCTTTCTTGTGCCAGTGGAAAAAAACAATTATTACCAAAAATCACATACAGGTTTAAAGGTTGTACCTAAAATTGCTCAGATGCAAGATTTGTGGCTTATTTCCTGTTTTGGATAAAAAGTATGTAATCTCCTGGTACTATGGCAGTGCTGGTATTTAAAAACCTACATTAGCATTATTAAAAAGTAATGAAGCTGTAGAATGATTTAATGGGGTAAACCTTATTTGATAAGGTCAGTGAACATTCACTTTGCTAAGTGAAGAGTTTCTACCCCTTTAGTAAATTAACCCCAGTGTGTTTGGGCTACATTTCAAGAATCAGGAGGTACAATCATGCACCTAAGAGAAGCGAGTCTGGCCCAGTAAAGAAGATGCTATGACTAGAATTAGTTATGAGGACATACGGCTGACAAGTGCCCACAGGGGCCACTTGTTCCTTAGCTTAGCTCAGCTTGAAGTGTGTCTACATGCTCACAGTGAGCATCTCTTATTTGCTCCCTTTTGGTTTATTAACCTCTTGCCGTCCGCCCGTAGTAAAAAAACGGACGGACGGCACTGCTAATCTGTCCCCAAAAAAGGGTATAAAATTCATTTCAGTACAGCGCTGCATGACGGAATAAATGTCAGTCAAAGTACCGCAGCGCTGAATACTGAAAAATGGCCTGGATGGGAAGGGGGTTTAACACCGCGGATGTCAACTGGTTAAAGAAAGCATCAAAAATGTTTTGTTATGACCAGTGGCGTCACAAGGTGGGTGCGGCCGGCACCTGGGTGTCACCATTGCAGGGGTGACACCAAAATGACAGTCATTTTGGGGTCACCCCCCTCTAAAAAGTCGGGCACTCGGTCATGGTGAACGTCCCCCCCCCTCCTTGACTGCATCCATCACAAAGATGGCTGCCGGCAGGCATCAATCAGATGGTCGCGCATGCGCGATGATGTCATGGCGGGGTGTCACCCGGTCTTGAGACCGGGTGACACCTGGCCTCGGGACGCCCCTGGTTATGACTGTTTTATAAGTGCAAAAAATACCTGTAGATACTGCAGTCTTATCTCAAGCAGTCTAATTAGCTCAGCCTAACTCTCCTCTTGACTTCTAGAACAACTTCACCCCAAGTTGTGAAGGAGAGGGGCTGTTCTGTAGCGCAGGAAAATAGAGGCAGGGACAGGGGCAGGGTGACAACATTCCTTGTGGTTTAAGTCCAGAAAATTCCTGTCATCAGCCCACAACAGGAAGTTAGCAGCTGATTGCATTTCTGCTAGGATCAAAAGGTATTTCTATGTACTTTCAGGGATAGATAGATAGATAGATTGATAGATAGATAGATAGATAGATAGATAGATAGATAGATAGATAGATAGATAGATAGATAGATAGATAGGACTTACCACTTGATCCAGGAGAAAGGGCTGTGTGGAGAAAAAAAAAAAACAAATATTTGACAAGAAAGCATGTTTTATATGCAGTGAAACAGTCTGCACAATATGCATTATACATAAGGAATACAATTATTACAAACTCTCCTCACAAAATATGCAAATAAGTTAGCACAGTGACGAATTAGGATTCTGCTCCCTCTACTGTAAATTAGTAGGATATTAAGATTCACCATACATTATACATTAGCATCAAATTTAAAAAGGCTTACAATAAACCTTGGGCTCAATTTAGTCCTAGAATTTGGCTGCATTTTTGCAGAAACCCCAAATACACCAACATTATTTTCAATATTAAACATTCCCTCGACATATTTTCATCGTTCTCAGTTTTGCGAAATGTTCCAAGCAGCATTTTCCAACTGTTTTGGTCAATAAGCATCCACCAAACCTATCCGTTGCTATCCATGGCAACACAAGCAAAACACACACCATTTTAAGTTAGAACAATCACTTTTAAGAGTTGTTGATGCTCATAACTGCAGGTAGAGATTCACAGAATGTTGGAAAAATGTAAATCACTGATCAGGAAGTGTTCCCTTTTCTTGAGGGAGCACATTTCATCCTTCTAAGATACCATTAAAGGGGACCTACAGTAAAATCTAAAGCCCTTATTTTTTAAGATACCCAAGCTGGAAGTCTTTATATTCAATGCATTATTCAGGAGCAATCTAGGTCTAGCAGGGAAGTCTTGTGTGCGTTGTCACTATCTAGGAACTGTTTAAAACAGTTGCTGACTAGCTGTCTTTGCCCAGCCAGTTAAGCCATGACTCAGCCTGAAAACACTTCCTAGATTGTGATATAAGCCTCTCCAGCCACGGCCTGATCGGAGATAGACAAAGGACAAGGGGCACTCTTTGCACCTGAAGGAAAAAAGGTTTAACCGTTGCATATGGAAAGGCTTCTTCACACTAAGAGTTGTAAGAATGTGGAAAAGGCTTCCTCGGGAACTGGTTCTAGCTAGCTCACTTAATTGTTTTAAAAAAATCTGGACGCATTCCTAAATGAGCAGAGTATCACTAGATATTAACATATTACAAGTAAAAAAACGCCAGAGATAGTTGATCCACAGAATCTCCCGATTGCCTTATGGGATCAGGAAAGAATGTTTTCCCCTGCTGGAGAATCACATTGAACCATGCTTTAAAGTGTTTTTTTTTCCCTTTCTCAGGATCAGCTGGGCATAGGGCTTCGTTTTTCTCTTTTCTCTATAGGTTTAACTCAATGGACATGTTTCTTTTCTCAACCTGACTATGTAACTATAGGACATGTGGTCAGACCGTGCCCGAAGCCGGCATCAGTTGACAAAATAAACTTTTTTTGTAAGGTTTTACAAAAACAAAAGGGGGTAAGAAAAGTGGACCTAAAATTCAATACAAGGCTTGCCTTGGTGTTGGCTAGGCCAGAACTTTTATCTTTTGTTGTCATTGATAAGAGATTTGCCTTTGAACACCTAACATGTAAACAAGTCAAATGATATTGACACAAACTGTCGCAGATTGGGAAAGCTACTGAGAATCACAGACAGAATGAGACTGGCATACTGGATACTACTACTGACAAACACACACTGACAGCAATGAAGGACATGGCTATTTTTACAGCAGATATAATGTGTATGTTTACTAGCTAGCTAGTTTGATGAATCCTACACAGCATCACATTATTTCTCCATTTCTATAGATATTGAGCCCCAAGTGCAGCAAAAAAAAAAAAAAAGATGAAAGGAAAAGGAAAGTAGTAAGAAGGAAAAATCTCACAGGTGTGACTACAAAAAAAAAAAGGAGATGGATACAGTTGGGATTTAAACCAACTTTTAGGGCCCATTCACACCACCTCCAGACCAGACTTTTTCTGGACCTAAAATGCATCCCAATGTTTCCCTATGCTCTTCTTGACCTCAGTTCAAACCATCGTATTCAGTTCCAGACCAGAAAAATACTGCGTGTCACATTTTGTCTGGTCTGGAACTCACCAGAATGCGCTGGTTTGGATAATCTGATCACCCCTGGACTTTCTGCTTCTGTGGAGAGAGAATTGTGAAGAACCATGATGGCTGAAGTGGACACTGAATTCTTTGTAGAACTTGTGGAAGCCTGCCCAGAGCTGTATGATCCGCGGCATGGGCAATGTAAGAACAATAATAGGAAGATGGACAAGTGGAGAGGCATTGCTGCCCAGGTTTGTCCCTGGCTATGATCATTTGAGCAGCTCTGAAAAGAATAACTGTGGTAAGTTCATGTCTCTTATGTGCAAGCATTGTGCTGCTCTTTTCCTGGCTATCTGTATGTCTTGCAGAGGTCCCCCAGCAAGACCTGAAATTGAACGTTTCAAAAACACGTCAAAATGCAACGCCGTACGTTCCAGATCTGGTCCAGAAAATGATGTGAACCTGTCTTTAGAGAGGCCAGTTCTGCATAAAAATCTCCCCAGACTGGTCTTAATCCTATGAAAACACGGATTAGTTTATTATGATTGTGTGCATTTTGAAAGCTCCACTCTTACCTGACAGCTTAAGATTGGATTTTCGTTTTTTCATGGAAACCCTCAAGAACTCATCCATAAGTAACTCAATAGCAGTTGCACGCTTCACAGGATCTGGTTCAAAGCAGCACAGTAGAAAAGCCTTGGCCTCTGCTGACATGGATTCAGGAATTTCTGGATGGATTTTGAACATGCCAACCTATGTAAAAAAACAGTATAAAAGATAAGTTAACAATAATATAAGGGGTCTATTTTGGTTATTCGCCCTGCAAATATCTGTGAACATTCATTTTGTGCAAATTTTCTTTTCAGGTCAAATGTATTAAAAAGTAATACTGCATTATGGCCACTAGAAGGGGCATATGAAATAAATGCAAATTTTCTATGCCCCTCATGTCCATCTAGTGGCCATAATGCAGTATTACATCACAATACATGACCCAAACAGAAAATATATTAACAAGGTTCATTTTTCCCATTATTCACACGAAACAAAAGGAAGCAAATGACATTGAAACTAGTTTATAATTAGACCCCTTAGTGTTTATCAACCAGTTTACATTTAAAGTGTTAATTATTTTTGTGTTAAAATGCATGTTTACCACATGTATGGTTATGCTAACATTTGCTTGGACAATATAATCAATATTGTTGTATAACAATAGTGTATGTAATGTGCCATTCCTTAGGAACAGGTCCCTAGTCTGTTTCACCTAGGGTGTTGCTGAAAATGAAATCTGAAAGTGCTGCTCCAAGTCTCTCCTAAACAGCATACGAGATTGATCATGAGAAAGCAAGAGAAAAAGTGTACATGTGTGTACAGCTTTAACCAAAACCATTTAAAAAAAATAAAAAAACATTTATAATTATGATAATACTATTATAATTCTTAATTCATTTACAATCACCAACTAACTTAGCTCTTACTTTGAACATGGCAGCCTGTGGTTCTCCTAATTCATAAAATGGAGGCTTTCCTGTGGCCATCTCAATTACAGTGCATCCTAGGGACCATATGTCGGCTGGCTTCCCATATCCTCTTGGTCCCTTATCTATAATTTCTGGAGCCATGTATTGAAGCGTGCCTGAAACAAGCAACATTTCATCAATTTACACATAACAAAATCAATCCACGAACACTTAAAAAATTCACAGCTAAACTAAAAGTAGAATGTAGAGTATGTGGATGTGAACAGTTCATATCAATTACCCCTAAAACGCCATCTACACAAAAGGAGATTTAAAAGGCACATTGACACATTTTGCTGATTTAAAAGGACATAAGAATGTTTACTTAAGAAATTGAGAGAAGATTTGCTTCAGTTATCCAATCAGGTAAAAAGCCAATTCCTGTTTCTTTATCTACTCATGAGCGGCTAGATCACAGTAGACACAGCTACTATTTACTGAGTGAAGATTCTCAACTTCTTTAGTAAAATCAGCCTCCCTGTTTCTTTACTTACAATTACTTCCACTGAACCTCAGAACGGAATTTTTGATTTTCCCATGTACAGGAAAACACATTGGCCACCCAATGTGTAAAAATGTCACCACAGTAATGTAGCCCCAATAAAGTTATATACATGTGCTACTATGAGATGTGGATTCTGACTATGAACAGTTAATTGCCTCTGTGTGGAAGTGAGGCGGAGACTTGTGGAGATTGTAGTACAGAGCAGATATGGATACATTGCTGAAAGGACATTGAGAACTACATCACCCAGGGTGCTGTGCGAGAGGAAGCAAGGGGACTATGGGTTGCAGCTACTGAGCACACTCAGTCTGGGACCGGGACCTGAGGTGTCCAGATCTATGCGAGACAAGGTGGATTGAGACAGCCTGTAATAGAGCTGTGTGGTCGCCTCTGACAGACAGGGACACACACAGGCTCTGTACCGCAGTGTATAAAGACTATTGTCCGGTTGCCAGCAGCTGAAGAGACGGTAATTGAGTGCCTACACTGAGGCCTAGTGACGCGTCATCAGCGGCAGTATCGCGGCATGGTCGTGTGGCCGATCCAGCCACTGGAGTGACCCAGTCAGCCCAGCTGTGTGAGCGGAAGTGAACGGAGCCAGCGGTGATCGTGACAGAGACCCTAGATGACCTTAGACGAGCGGTGAGGTGTCCCAGGAAACCCTAGACGAGCGGTGATGTGTTGCAAGAGGCCATAGATGACTTCTCCTTACTACTAAGTGCCACCCTGACGAAAGAGGGATTGCTAACTGTTGCTGAAAGACATCATCTTTCCAGACAACCCTAGGAGTGGTGAGAGGCCTATGGGGCCACCAATTGGGCGGTGCATTGATGTAAGGGGGGACAGAAAGACCCGTTACTACCAGCGGCTCCTACAGGGGTACCGCTACAGTAATAATAATGCTATCATCTTACCATAGTTGCAGTTATGACATTGCGATACCCGGTTTTTGCCAGCACATTTGTACACTGAACCCAAAGATAATTTTATATATAATAGCACACACAACTATTACAATTTGTCATATATAAAGCGGTATGTTTCTTGAACTTGGCATCACTTGAGTGTTTTCTTTTGTTCATGTTGAAGTGATATTAAACTTATGTACCATATTGGAGATAGTGTATTGTTTATGTTGTAAGACATTTTTGTGTCTGAACTCTGGGGGTCGGTGTTGACAGGCTTTTGTTTGCTTCAGAATGGTTTCCCTCCAAATAAGAGCAAAAAAGCAGCTTGAAGCAGGTCAAATATAGGTCAACTGCACCTGAAATTAATTCTGATTGATCTGAGAAGAGTCTCAAATTGATGATAAAAGGAACTACATTCAGCTAAGCATATCTACGCTGCCCCTTAGTGCCTGCACCACCAAGTTCACTGATTTGTTCTCACTAAACACGTGGTTAATTTACTAAAAGAGTAGAGCATGTATACTTTGCAAAATGAGTGTCACTTATCTTAGTGAATGAGGTGAAGTGAAAATGCATTTTGCAAAAAATACACAAACCTGTGCAATGAAAATCCAAAGAACATGATCTGCTCTCACATGGACATACATTTGCAAAGTGTGAATAGTGAGTGCATGTATACTTTTCTTAGTGAATGAGGTAAAGCTTAATCATTCAATCATGTGCGAACAAAAATCCAGCTTTTTTTTTAAATTCTCATTGCATATAAGGGACTTTTCACTTACTTCATTCATTGAGCTAATGAAAATTCACTTTGCAAAGTGATCATGGTCTTCTCCTTTAGTAAATCAGCTACAAAGTCACAGACTTACCAGTGAATGTCTCTGTATTTGGGTTGATTCCAGCAAGCCTCTTAGATGTACCAAAGTCAGAGATTTTCAGAACACCACTATATGTGTTTATTAATACATTATCCCCCTAGAATAAACAATTGCATGTTAGTTAGCATTGACAGAAGTGGAAGAACTCTTTGCAATCCTATGCAGGCGAGTCAAAAACCCATTAAAAACTATACATACAAGAATGAGTGATCTACTTAACTACGTAATATTAAATACAGTTGCAAGTCTTGAGCACCCTCCTGGATTTTACTTCCAGTTTTTATTTAAACATGTTAATATGAACAACCAAAATCGTAGGATTTTTGACTTACCTGTAAAATCCTATTCTTGGAGTATAGCACAGAACACAGGAGAAATCAGGATGGTTAAGTTATATAGAGGTATCGTCAGGTGACTTGACACTTGTCAAAGCTGTTCGAGCCTATATAACCCCTCTCACCACAGCAGATCCTCAGTTTTTTACCAGTGTCCTTAAGCAGATTGACATGTTTCTTTCTCTGAAAGAGTGTATTTAGTCTTACCTCATGATGTCTTCAGTCAAGTCCTCTTTTTCTCTAGCAGGGCCTACACACCAACCTGTTATTGCAGCACTGGAGGTTTGGCACACCTTGGCAGTTCGGACAAAACGTATGACCCTTTGGATTTGGTGGTTTTTAGGAAGTCTGGAACTACTTTCTAGGACTTTACGTTATGTGGTGCATACTCTGCTTGCCACACTGTGTCAGTTATTTGGGCTCGGCTGATGTCGGCTCAGAAGTATAGGACTTAAAATAGTTGGAGCCTGCTCGTAAGCTGGTGTTCTCCAGAGCTAGCAGAGTTCGGGTGTGGCTAAAAGGTTATTATTTCAGCCCTCAGGTTCCACCACTTCAAACCTGGACAGGATACCCAGACATAACCCCCCTTTTCTCTCTGGTGGAGGGGTAATTATAGAGGTTTGCAGCTGTTAAGAGTCTTCCAGTTTCTCTCTTAAAGGCAGGAGGCATCCAAGGTTTTTCTGCAGGTCTCAAAAAGAGAACCTAAACAGGTTTCTGCTATGACCTCTCTCCAGATGGGGGATGTATTTAGGCATGTTTTAAATCTCTATTCTTTCTCTTTTAGCTTGTCGGCAAACCCTCGAGTACACACAAGACTGTTAGTAATAGCTTTGGCTTCCACTCATCGCTTGGAGTATCTGGGAGCTTGAAACGAGAATATTCTCCCCGGGACAAGTCTCACATTCACTATCCTAGGTCTCAAACACACCCCTTAATGGCTAGGAAGGTGTCCTCAGGCATCTGTATGTTCGGAAGAAGTGGATCCCATAAGAACCAACTTTACCTTCAAGGTCCTAGAGGTGAGGGCGATCCATTTCTATCATTTTTTCCCTTCTTATTGGTCCTGTCCTCTTTAAGTGAAATTAACGTGTATTCACTCCAACAATTCTTCAGCAGTAGCTTACATTATTGTTCAGGGGTCCACAGGTAGCTGTGCACCCCTAGGAAAGGGAAAAATTCTGAAAACAGTAATCTCATACAACGATTCTACTGGCCGCATACATTCCTGGGTAGGAAGATGGCTGGAGGACTTCAGTGAGAAATAGCTGGATCAGGGAGAATGGTCCCTGAATCAGGAGGTGTTCCAACAGGTTGGAACAGGCTGGACAGGGCTCTATCCAGATTCAGTGCTCCAAAAGTCTTTGCACTGGATATTCCGATAACCTTGTAGGATCAGTTCTGCTTATCTACCTTTTTTTTTACTCCACTCAAGACTACTCGTTTCTTTTGCAGGATGTCGATGGAGGAAATTGCAAGGATCGAGATTTCCCCCGGTTCACCCTGGAGGGTGTGGTTCACAGACATTCTCCATCTGTCAGTAGACCCTCCATGGAAGGTATCCAATCGACAGGTTTTCTATCACAGGGCCCATTGCTCCATCCTGCTTTTCAGTCACGAATCTTAAGAGATTGAAGCCTTGGCACTGATGAATAGGGGCTTATTGAAGCTCAGTTTTCAGTCTTATCAGCCCTTGGTCAGATGCTCTTGACCTGTCATTCTACTAGAACTGTCAGTACTTCCTGGGTGCCTTGTTTCCAGGCATCTACATTAGTGTTTGTAGCGATGCTACCTGATCCTCTGGTCTTACTTTCATCAGGTTTTTATAAGTGTATATACATGAATCCACAAATGCTGATTTTAGCCATGTGATCTTATAGACGGCAGGGTAAGGTATTCTAAAGCTATACAATCTGAGGACTGTAGTCTGTTCCCACTCTTCTATTGCTTCTAGGCGTACCAACCATCCTGGTTTCTCCTGTGTCCTGTACTGTACGATCAAGGTAAAAATAATTTAAAGAATAACTCCACCTTATGCCGAATATTGTTAGCTAATTTAAGTGCAAACCCTCTCCAACCTATTCCCCAGTCATTACTGTGAAGTATTCAGATGAAGAAGCTCAAATCTCAAGACCACCAGTTTACAGAAACTGTCACTATAACAAGAATAACAACATTATAAACCATACTTTCAAAACAGCATGCTCAGGGCTATAAATTAACACACATGAGAATTAAAATACATGCTTCTAGATGTGTGTGCAGCAATTTCTAATTGCACCTAGAAGCATGTAATGCTTTGCTATGGTTATATGCACACCTAGATGTCTAGCACCGTCAAGGTGCATTAGGTCTAACTGCATAAACACATCGATAAATAGACCCCACAAATGTAAACTATTAACAGGCTAGTTCTAAGTTCTCATTAGTAGGTCAGAGAACAAGTCAATATCTTTGCTGTCATAGTGTAAAAAAACAGATCTGTCCATGTGACCAGGAATGGTAATCAGTTGCTTCATTGTTACTTGATGCAGGTCAAAGATTTGGATTCAAATAGTGCCAATTATTGCTTTGAGCACTTTCATATTTTGTTTTTCATTGTTATATAATCTGCTGTAGTGTAAAACACACAGAACATATAAATTGTCAGGAGTGCTAGCTGACTCTTTCAAGGGAATAATGATTAGATAAGCACTGACCTTTATATCTCGATGAACAATCTGATTGTCATGAAGATATTTTAAACCTTCAAGAATCTGTTTGGTATAAAAGCCAATTGTTTGTTCATTTTGTTTTAGAGGTCCCCATTTTGATCGTAAAAGAGCAGAAAGGCTTCCTGTAAATAAAAAAAAAAAAGTGTGTCATGTTTTATTTCTACAAAGGAACAAAATATGATGTCTCTTCATCCTGCCAATGTCTTAAAAGGGCACAGGGCATCAGCTACAGTATGTATTATTTGACTGAACTCCGTGAAGCAGAGGCAGATGCAAATATCTGTTGACCCTGCCAGAAATCTAGAGAACCAGATTTCTGGCAGGATTTACAGGAATTTTTCTGTACTTGTTGTAAAACAGGGAACGTACACGTATTGCAGGTATGCACTGAAAGTTTAGTTTTTTTTATTTTGAAGAGACATATACTTTACACCAGGGGTCTCAAAGTACAGCCCCGTGAACCGGTTACAAACACATATTCCGACATTATAAAACACACATGCAGACATTAACACATTATATAGCTAAATTTTGTTTTGAAGTATAACATTTTATTAAATTTGGCAAGCAGCCCCCATGGGAGAAGAAAATTTGCCCATTGGCCCCCAAATGGATTGAGTTTGAGACCCCTGCTTTACACTATGCATCTAATTTTCAAGGTACAATCGCAAGAAAATAACTTATAATTGCAGTCATTTTCACATCATTACTATGTATTGATGGCGAGTGTCCAACATTAGCTAGTTTGTGGCTCCCTTGATTAAAACAGATCTGGATACTCTGTTTCACTCTCTGCTTAGAAAAAAGGTAGGCATTTATTTTTATTTTTGTTAGTCACTAAAAGGAAAAAGCACATGTCAATCGCTTCATGTGTTGACAAATAACAGGAGAGGGCAACATAACAATGGGATGAACTCATCACTCAGCTGCTTCTCCTTTCACTGTCCAGGCTCAGATTGGTCCAGGATAACCTGAGATGAAGGAAGTTGGTTGAATGATTCTGGCCATCAGATTAATGGCATTTTATGGCAGATGTGCCATGGGGGAAAGCGCTGGATTGAAAGTTGAGTATGGCAACAAAAGCTGTTTTTTAATAATATTTTTCAATGGGCTATTCATTTTTATATTTTTTTTTTGGCTGTACTTCTGTTTTAATATTTCTTTCCTAATGCATATGACCTTAGCATGGTTAAAATAGATAAAAGTACATAGTCTATATGCCCTCCGTCCCTGTGTGGTTATTACTTGGCTATTGTATCTTTTTTTCTTAGCCTTCTGTCCAAAATAAAATGAAAATGTTTTGGCTGGAGCTGTGCCTTAAAGTAAACCTGAACCCAACCCACAATAGAAATTCCCCTCCCCATCTCTACTTGCTGCTGTCTACCCAAAGTGCTAACTAACTCCCTTCAAATACTTATCTGTGGCAGAACTAGGCTTCCCCTGAAAACTGTTCGCTTGTTGAGTGTGTTAAACATGTGTGATATATATATATATATATATATATATATATAGCAATATAAATGGGTAAGCCGTATAAGTCCAGTAGACAAGACGTCAAAAAAAACAAAACGCAGTATTGCAGTGTGCAATGATACCTTTCTTATCGGACTAACAAAATACATAAAAGACAAGCTTTAGAGAGTGAACCTCTCTTCTTCAGGTCAGAAGCAATACTGATCAACATGACAATAATTTTGACGCAAACCTTATTGAGTATTAGGAATTGATATATGAATTCTAAAACATATTCTGTGAGATTGTGTGTTAACAGTCATCTTGCTTGGAGCTCCTTTGCAGCTGATATTATGCATCAGCTGCAGTATATTATTTTCTGGGTAATTCAAGTATTGGGTGTTTTGCTCTGAGCTCCCCTTGATTTGATTGTAATTTAGCCTGCAATTTCTATGGCAATTGAGTGACGTTCCAATTTCTATCAGCTAAAAAGTTAATTGAAGTTTTCTCAGCCTGCACGCCGTTCTGAAGAAGTAATACGACGCAACGCGTAGACAAGCGTATGCACGCTGATAACACCAAGCCTGTGGTTGTCAAATACAAAGGAGTACAGTACATGTGATTTTATATTTGGGAGTATTTGTATTACTTTAATAAAACTTTGTATACGATTTACTACACTATGATTTCCCTCATCCTTTTCCTATGAGCGATTGGGGTTCCTCCTGATCTGATATATGAAGAGATCTGAAGCGGAGAGAGAGTCCGTCTCTTAAAATCAGAGGATGAAGTACTACTGAGGTCCCCAGGAAAGACTAAATGCAGTGCGGCTGTATGTTATCTTTTAAGGCGATTGTAGGAGAGACATCTGGTGAGTGCGGATCCTATTACCTAGATGTGATCACTTTGTAGCATGGAGCACATTAGAAGATTCAAGCTTATTCATTTATCTGTTTCAAATGATATCTGTAACAAATACATCAAGGCAACTGGACTTGCTGTATTTTTCTTGAATAGATGTCTCACCCCCTCCCTCCCACCTCTGAGAGACATCTATTGTCTGCCACATACAATGCTGTTTTAACACCTCTCTCTGGGCAAGTTATTAACACCTCCTAGCTCCAATTATGCAAATGCAATCAGCACCTGGTTGTGAAGAACAGATTATGTGGATTGGAACAACATTCACCATATTTATTCCCAGATAATTTTTGTACAAGTCATTCTGAATTGAGAAAGCTGGTTGGATGGCTAGTGAAACGTCTTCAAGAAAAATACAGCAAGTCCAGTTTCCTTGACTTATTTTTTACAGATATACCATGACCTGGATGAATGAGAACCTTCACAGACATTTTTTCATATGATGTTTATGGATATATGTCCGTGAATAAGGACATTCATATTTATTTTCAATTATAAAACGTTAGTCATGATGCTATTGGATCACTTTTAAGCAAGGAGCACTTTAGAAAGATTTTCATTATATTTAATTCCTGACTAAGGGATTTAATATGGATATCTAATATTCTAGTCATTAGATTTTGTTTTTGATGTGATTGGTCTATGACTAAGTATATATATTTTTTGATCACTACAAATTCTTTGTTCACTACATATTCTTGATCACTAATTTTATGATTCACTTGAGCGCAGTGTGGTTTGTGTTTATATATAATCTGCGTGTATTACACACATTTTGAACACATGATCAAAATCAAATGAGGGCCCATGTGGCTGGTTGGTTGTTATTTTAAAAGTGCTTAACTGAACACCTGGGTGTTGCGGTGATGATTTTTGTAGCTCAATGCGTTCATTTTCAAGCATCAAGGGCTCATATTGTGGTAATAATACATGGCAGGGGCCTCATTTTAGAACCTGTTTGTACGAGGCCTGGCTTATTGTGCTCCGGATGCTATTGGCAAGTAATCAACAGCATAAAATCAATAGGTTTTGCTTTTTATTTACATCTATGTGACCAGAGAAGAAAACTGCATGGAGTCAAGACTCAGGAGGTTTTGAGACAGCTTTTTGCTGGAGTGTGTGGCCACTGTTGGATCCTGGGGGGGAGCGTGATATTGCTGGAGTGTGTTGCCTCTCACCAAAGAGAAGTTCCAGCCATCACATTAGGGGTGAGTTAATTAAATGTTTGACCAACTATAGCAGGCTAATTTGTAAGTTGATCATTTTGTATGGCCCACGAATGATGATATAAATATCCAAATAGCCCTTGGCAGAAAAAAGGTTCCCCATCCCTGGTCTAATTGATTGGATGTAAACTGAACTGATTGTTTTGAAAATCTCTTGCACTGCTCAGTTACTGATACACTTTGATGATCTGCCAAGGCTACCTTATAGATATTAGATAGTGGTCTGAAGAAACAGTAGATTCCTGTCAGTCAGTTGTCTATCTAAGCAGGAACCTAGAAACCAAATTTGTCAGACAAAATTGGTCTGTACAGCTGGAAACTTTCCATATGAATATGAAGATATTCAAATAATCTTACACAATGCACATGTGCAGGAGCTGGAAACATCCTTTTCTATTATTTGGTACCATTGAGTGTGATTATTATTTTTTTTTTTAAAGGAAAACATCATTATGGTTAATGATAAGATCTTAAATACAAGCAAATATCTATACCAGACCTGGTGAGCACTGTCTAAAAAGTTAGTATTGGCTATTTCACACTTTATATTTACAGCGAAGTTGTGTGTTTACTTTTCTCTCAGTCCTCCTTATATATATCTCCAGACAAACAAACAAACAAGAGCCTGTCTATTAATAACAACTACAATTCCGCAACCACTAACCAGTGCATGACTACCTGCTTGTGTCTCATCTTACACTGTGGTACTGTATGTGTGCTGCCCTTCAACCAAAAGATTTTCTCTCAGCCATTATGGTAATTGCTACCACACACTTTAGCTCTTAGCAGTTTCTGAATTCTCTCTAGAGTAATGAAAATTACCTCTTCTAGCATTTCTTTCAGTCTCTCCTACTTTCCATTGACTGCAACAGGAAAGCTAAGAACTGAAAACTTACCCAATAATTCTCCCATTGCTGTGGCCGCAGCTCCACCCCCCACCCCC